CGTGTACATTCTCTAGCAGAGCGTGAGACCGGATACCAGTCTACCCGGCGGCAAAAACAATAACGTGGTATTGCTGCCAACCGCTGCCAGTAGACGATCGATAAATAGTGCACCTGTGTATGCCCGTGGTAGAACACGAATATTTAAATGCTGCACGCCCGGACTCGGCCCGCGTGCGATTTAAAGCGCGGGAAACGACGCTCGCGCAAGAATGGCCAGTGATCTGTACGGTGTGTAGCTTGCTAAGTGCAGTAAATTTAGAGAAATTTTAGTAGAATTCATATGATGACACAAACTTTTCCATAACAATGGCCTTGGTGCCCTTCTCAAATTGTGAGAGTTGCCTTGATGCCTTTTAAAATTGCCTCGGTGCCCATCCATTTTAGAGAAAATTCAAGGCAATTTCTCACATGCCCCCAAAAAATTGCCTTGCCCCTCTCGTCGCTTAATTCGAGGCCTGCTACTACCGGCCCTTGGAGGCTCAAGTTTCAAGAAGAGTATAAGAGCGAAGCCGCTTTGCTCTTATACTCTTCTTGAAACTTGAGCCTCCAAGGGCCTATGATTCTACTATACTGAGTGCTATATTCTACTAGCAGACTCGGGCTTAGTCCAGACTTCAGTAATGAGTAATTTACTCAATTACTGCTGGGCAGGGTCCTTTTCCGAAATCGGTTGGTAGGCCTATGTATACACTCGCTGTAGTCTCACACTGATCAAATGTTAGGCTTGAGTGTACTGTATACGTATGAGCCCATAACTTATCTGTGGATGTTTATGGTAGGCGGACAAACACATGCCTGAGACGGTGTAACTTATACCGTAGGTTTTGCTACTAAATTCAAGAGGAAATAAGAATCGTGGCAGTGCGCTGCATCCTGCACAGCTTTCCTAATAAACTATTTGGCCCAAACCTAGTATATTACCCCGAAATAAAAATAGCACATTTGCGAAAACACATTTGCGGAGTTCAAAACTAGGATTAAGCAAACCAGTCCACCTCCACATTCGACCTATGCCACATTTATAGCAGAAATGGAAGGGTTTGTATTGTAGAGTGAAATAGTAGGGTAAAAATATGTTAAATTGGTGTTTATCACAATAACTTCACATCTATTCAAAAATTAAAGAGAGATTTTGGCCATTAATTGTTTGTTGTGGCCAGCAAAGTGATGATCATGTCGCAATGTGACTTATTATTTACTTATATGGACACTAGGTGTCACTGGTTTAGGGGAGTGTTGTTAGGGTGTGCGTGGTTGGAGACACGGGAGTTTGAGTGACTAGAAAATTTTTTTTTTGTTACTGCAGAGTATCTGTTTTACTCTGTTTTATTTTGATATTTGTTGATCGGAAGAATAAACGGGCTGCTAACCACCCTACCTTTTGGACACTACATACCTCTATTTTTTGCTTGTCGTGGATACTTACTCAACCAGCGTGGGATCTACACTACGACAAATTGGCGCAGTCGACAGGATTCCCGATCAATGCAGGAGGGATATCAGAGGAGTACCGCTGCTACCGCAGCTGAAGGAGTGAAAAAAAAACCGGGGTACAGAGACAGAGGAGAGATCCAGTCAAGGAGACACCCCTACCATCCAGGGACATTGGCGTTGGCTGTAGCACCAAGGGAGTATCGGCGCGTGGGACGTAGGACTGGAATGGACTTGCCTTTTGACCGTGACCTGTATTAGTCAGTACTGTGGAATCTACTGTCTAGCACCGAGGGAGTATCAGCGCGTGTGATATATGGACTGGAATGGACTTGACTTTTCAATGCGATTTGTATTAGCCTATAGTATTAGTCGGTGAATAGCAATGAAGGAATTACTGATGCATTGTAATATTTTTGTATTGCAAGTGTTTTGCATTCAACATTGTGTGCATTCCCGAGTTGTATTAGTCTGTGAGTAGCAACGAAGGAATTACTGATGCATTGTAATATTTTTGTATTGCAAGTGTTTTGCATTCAACATTGTGTGCATTCCTGATTTGTATTAATCAGTGAATAGCAACAAAGGAGTTACTTCGGCGCTGTAATAGTTTTGTATTGTAAGTGTTTTGCATTGCGTGCATTCCTGATTTGTATTAATCAGTGAATAGCAACAAAGGAGTTACTTCGGCGCTGTAATAGTTTTGTATTGTAAGTGTTTTGCATTGTGTACATTCCTGATCTGAATTTCTTGTACTGAGGCTGCACCGTGGTCTTCAGCCATCGACACGATTGCCGATATCCCAATGAGAGAGATGCTACAGGCCTTGACAGGGTTCATGTAGGGGCTAACTCTGCAACAGACGCCCCAATCCCTTAAGATTAAGTTGCAAAAGTGTAGGAGGCCGCCTAAAGCCCTAGGGGAACCATCTCTTAATGAATGGCTAGATGACTTCGCAACATATGCCAATCAATACAAACTGGAAGGGAAGGCCAAGGCACAGGCAGTTGAAACACAGGTTGATCATCTTGCAGGAGAGGTAAAAGAGGAGGTGCTTTGTCGAGAGCAGTCTGTACGCAAAGACTACCATGAGCTGGTGAAAGTCTTAACATCACTGTTTGGCCCAGCAGAGTCTGTTCAGACATTGAGTGCCACCTTTCACACGCGAATGCAGAGGGAAGACGTGTCTTTGGCTGATTACAGCAGAGGGTTGATGTGCCTGTACACCCGCATGCATGGATAAGGCTGCGTCGACCGATAGTGAGCAGAAAGCGCTTGAGTTATTACGGGACAGCTCACTGAAGGAGAAGTTCGTGCGAGGGGTACGAGAGACTTGGATGCAGCAAGATCTCCGTCAAATAGAGATGGCATCGAAGGAGAGATCTTTTCTGGAGATGCGGGAAGAAGTGTTGGACTTCTTCAGGGATTAGGAGTCGAGCAAGAAGGTCAAAGTCCATGAAGCGTGGGCTGCTACTCCCACAGTAGCAGAGATGTCATCTCCTTCCAGCGAAGTGAAAAAACTGAAAGAGGATCTCTCAAACCTTTCAAAGCAGGTCTCGATGTTAGTAGAGACGGAAAGACCTAAGAACCGAATGGGGTGGAGGGAGACAAACCTTTAGGCGTGAGCCAACCTGTTTTAACTGTGGGAAGAAGGGGCACACAAGGAATGAGTGCAGCAACCCCGCCAGTTGTTTTGGATGTAAGATGCCTGGGCATATCAAGAGGGACTGTCGTGCAAGGACAACACCAGATCGATCATCAGTTACACCGGCAAAATGGTCAGACAACCCACAGGCGAGGATGGGACAGACGCATTTTGGGCACCGCAATAAGGGCTCACAAAATGAAGATTTGACGCACCGGTTGGTGGCACCAAGTCCTGATCCAGATTGGAGGCGTCGAGTTAGGGTGCATCTTGGACACCGGGGCGGAAACATCCGTAATACCATCTTCTGTGTATCACCGTCAGTTAAAGCAACGTTTAGGAGAGTTGAAGCCAATGTCCGGAGTGTTTCTGAACGTGATTGGTGTTGGAGGCATAGAGATACCAATTGAAGGTTACATCGAGGTTCCCGTCAGCATCCAGGGGCAGTACTCACAGGGAGCTTCCTGATAGCAACAGATAAGGCCAGTGATACTCGTGCCTCTGAGTATCCTGTGTTGCTTGGATGCAATATCCTGCAGAAACTGAACTCAGCTACATCGGTAGACCAAGTTTTGAAGGCTGCAAACCGGTCGGAAACATCAGGAAAAACAGAAGGAAAGATAGATGTTGCTATCGCACCAAGCCGTGTGAAGACTGGTTGTGATGAGGTTCTTCCACCATACTGCGTGTGAAGGGTCGTTTGTCAAGTGGAGACAAGATTGCACCCTCAGTTGATGGGAGAAGTTCTGGTTCGAAATGTTCCCGGTCAGCAAGACTTGGCAATAAACACCATTGAGGGATGCCGGCAGTTTGATGGCGAGTTTGTGGAAGTCCTCCTAGCAAATAGGTCAGAATATGAGATTTGCCTTCCATCCCACACTCAGGTAGCAGAAGCATTGAGGGTACAGCGAAAGAAGGAGGTATGTATGAACCTTGCCGAGGACCAGCTGGTGGTCTCCATTTGCGATGTTGTTGCTGAGGAGTGGGGAACGGAGGGAGATGTACCAGGGGACCCAGTGGGTGACTCTGGTGAGGACATCAGAGTTGTAGGGGAGGATGGTAGTCTTCGGAAACTTCCCACTAGAGTCAACTTGGAAGGGCTTAGCAAGGAAGAAAAGCGACATGATCAGTATACCTCAGGTGCTGTCCTTGACGTTGGCGATTTCGTTCTCATGAAGAGGAATGCATTTACTGGTAGACACAAGCTGCAAGACAAGTTCTCCAAGTTGCCTTGTGTGATTGTAGGCCGGAATGAGGAGAACGACATCTACAGCGTGCAACCCTCCTTGGGAGGAGTGGCCAAATGGGTGAATCGGCGCCAGCTTGTTCTGAAACCTCGAAGGCAACGAAGCGTACTGGAAGAAGTCCTCCCAGAACCATTATCTGACGAGGATGGCAAAGTTGCGGCTCCACAATATCATAGAAGTGATGTGGACGATGACCATAGCATAATGAGGACAGTAGTGGAGATGACGATAGTGATGGTGATGATGATACGGGCTTCCAGTGGATATACGCTGACCCCCCTGATGGAGGCGAGCAGCAGGCAGCAGCAATGCCGGACCTTCCAGGTCCAAGACGATCCCAGAGAGTGGCAAAAGGAGCACACCGTAACCCTCATCGATCACCTGAATGTCGAAGCTTGTTTCACGTAACAAGCGGGGAAGAAATTGTTTCCATGGAGTTAACATAATTCTAGATTACTTTGTGAAACTACCCTAGTTGGTGTGAAATGGGCAACAGGATAATTTCACAGTTTCTTGTGTACGTGTATTGTTTATATAATGTTTAGTAATGCTGCGTTAAGAAAGAAATATCTTTTGGGGGAAAAAGATTTCCAAGCGGGGAAAGTGTCGCAATGATTATGTGACTTATTATTTACTTATATGGACACTAGGTATCACTGGTTTAGGGGAGTGTTGTTAGGGGGTGCGTGGTTGGAGACACGGGAGTTTGAGTGTCTAGAAAAGGGTTTTTTCGTTACTGCAGAGTATCTGTTTTACTCTGTTATATTTTGATATTTGTTGATCGGAAGAATAAACGGGCTAACCACCCTACCTTTTCGACACCACATAATTATCTCTATTTTTTACTTGTCGTGGATACTTACGCTCATAGGGTCTATGTCCCCCAGGGTACTATCGGAGGGTACCCTGGGTACGGTTCGATATATCGGAACGTACCCTGGTAATCTGATATGGTTAGGGTTAGGGTTAGGGAGTAGGTGTAGGCGACTCCCTAGACTCGTTAGTGGAGTAGGCGAGGTACGGTTCGGCATATTAGATAGTACCAGGGTCTGTTCCGATATATCGAACCGTACCCAGGGTACCCTCCGATAGTACTCTGGGGGACATATAGACCCTCTCAGCGATACTTACTCAACCAGGGTGGGATCTACACTACGACAATTACATCCCCTAAAATTGAGCATTATGGAAGCATTTGCAGCGATTGATTCTGGGGTGCACCATATGACTTCTACTTTTATACGAGGTTCCTTTAGTGTGCTGCTCTAAATAAGACTCTGTTTTCTTGAAACATATTTTCTACACTAACCAGAGTATATTATTGTCTAATACACTTTGCAAAAGGGTTACTTTTATCAGGCCCTGGTGCGAAAAATATTGTGTCAGGCAACCAGCGAAATAATAACTCGGACCTTTATTGCTAAGTGCAGGTTATTGTCAAAATACATTAAGGGTAAAATGTACTCTTGTAGAATAGAGCATCTTCATAGTCACAATTGATATCAACAAGTGTCAATACTTGGTCTATTTTTAGATCAGCACTATTCACGAAGACGAATGCATGACAACTATGTTTTGCTTGGAAATCCTCACTGATATTCACAAAATTTGACTTGTCACGCTTCATGCACACTCGTGATGGCTCAGTGTCTATATGACTGCTTGCATGGAGCTAAGCTAGGACACTTATTTCCTGTTCTTCAGAGCAAAGGTATGTGCATGAAAAGATTGATTATAAAGAAACTATAATTTTTACCACTCACATGTCTGCTGAAGTGTTGTTTAAAACATAACATGGTGGTAAAGGCAATTTTTCTCGTCTTGGTTGTTGAAGCTACATACTTGTCATATAGGAGTTCTGCATTCTGAGGGGTTGGCAGAGGTGAGTCTTCTGGATTATGGTGAATACGGAATTACACAGCCTCTTGACCAACTTCGTCTCTTCCGCCTCATCCAGTTAATCCGTGAGGTGCGAAAAAGTGGAAAGCAGTGCAAGAAGTCGTGTCTACAGAAAGGTGAGAAAAAATGCATGTACATGTGGATCTGATGTTTGCAATTGAATAACATTATTTTGCTACAATCAATGGAATAACTTGTGATAAGTTTAGCTGCACAGCGAATCTAGAATCCAGTCTGCAGGCAACAATCTCGAGGCATGTCTTAACTCCAAAGTGCCTATGTGAGTGGATCATGGTGGAAATGAAAAAATTATGATTGGATTAAGGCAGCCTTTACAGACCTTCAAATTTCTAGGACGTCTACCCAACCATGAGTGCGTGAAATTGGCAAATATGTTAACTGACTGTAATGGTAAATAATGCTAAAATATTTGATGGTTTGGAATGGATTAACCCACATTGATCTCCTCAATTATACAACTTGCTTCAAACACTGCCTATTCAATCAGTATTTTGATCCACAATGTCTAACCATGCTAAAGGTACCCCTAGTGCAGAATTCCATACAAACCTGTTGCTGTTTCTTCTGCACATTGCTCATATTTTCACCTTAAAAATTTAATGCTTATTCAGAAAGGTATATTTAGGCTGCTCTAGAAATGTAGCAGGGTGCTCTTAATTCCAACACCGTGCTTGTATTGATTCCTATGTGGAACTTTCTATTAGGTAAAAAAATGTGGATCAATCAACATCCACATAATCTTTAGGAAATATTTTTCAAACTAAATAGCACGTTTGAAAGCATTGTACCAGGCACAAGTACAAACCCCAAGGGCATATGCCACAGAAATATAAGCCATATAATATAACTGTGAATATATGTATTCTTTTTCTTATTACCAGTTATTGTTGGTGCAACGACCTTTGCAATCAGTGGTTACCACCATAACAATGTGACACCAAACCTGGTTGCTAAGGGAGTGGCTGACCTAGGATCCGGTGCTAAGCAAAAGCATCAATTGACAGACGATAAGATTTTGTATGATGGTCAAACTGCAGGAACATCTGAAACGAAGTACTCAAATGATTCGTCGCTTCATGGGCACAATCGACTGTCCTTCACTGACGCCAAGGAGAGGAAGCGCAATAATAACATCAAAGTAACGACGAGAAAGTCTAAGGGCATATACTTCTACGTGAACTTGGATCAGAGTGCCAAAACGGATGCTAGCAGTGCAGAGAAGAATCTACGTAGTAAACTAACGACACGTCGGGCCACGTCGTTCGTAGTGGGAGTCGGTGAGCTTCAGCAGCCGCGGCTGAAGCCAGGCATCGTTCCCATCAGCAGTCACTCGGCTTTAGGATCGGCAGGCAGGCCACTCCCATGCCCTGGCTATGACCAGTTCATGCTGCGTGACACAGATGCCACCCAGTGGCCGTTATCTGACTCGGAGTCCTTCGCTCAGACATCACTTTTAACCTGCAGCATGGTACATATCAACGGTGTTTATCATTGTCTCGTAAAAACCTGTAACGCTCCTTGCGCAGCATTTAAATAATTTCACATTTGCTGTAACCTAAGTTAGTAATCCATTGGTTTAGTGCCAGCTAGAATTTTGTGACTGTGGAGTCGTTTGTATAATACTTCACTTTAGGCAAGGATGTTTTTCACAGACCAACCTCTGAAATCCTGCGCTAATATGCTGCAGACAAAAAATCATTTAAGTACTTATGATTATAATGTTGTGTGAGGCAGACAGAGATTCTGAAGGCAGTGGAAGTAATAATGTGCACTGACTGCATTTGTGTTATTCTAGCCACTTATAAATGGCATTTTCATATATAGGACATTACACATATGCCAAGAGTAAGCCGTGGGTTGTTTAGACAGAGTAGATTACATGCCACTGGAATAATGGGGTTTTAATGACAGATCTGTAGGGGCTTGCTAATATATTATGAATAAGTGCACGTGCACGTAATTGCACGCAGAGTGGGTTTAATCAATAATTGTCAAGCCTGGGTTTGCATGCTACTGGCAAACTATTCGTGACTACTCAGCTGCATGTGCGTACATTATATTTTGCAGGCAAGAGGTGCAAAGAGAGGTTTTAACATACAAGCAGGACATGTTCCTGCATCAGGCAAAAAACAAATGCAAGTCAAATCAGAGATCAAGGTAAGCTGCATTTCTCTATTTTTAGAGGCACGCCATTGTGACGTATGGTGCAAGCAACTGCAGACACTATAAGCATATACCGTGTAAGCTAAATTTGAGACCTGAACATATATATTGTGTACTAGAACTAGCCTGAAGTCAATGCATTCAGCTTGGTTAGATCTAGTCGGGCACATGCCTTTGTTTTTCCTTGTGTATTTAATATATCTTTTGGTGAAATAGGAGTTGAAACAAATGTATCAAAAATATACCATTTGTTTTTATTAGACAACGAAAATGGTAAGAAACCAATCTTTTTGTAAGATGGATGAAGGAGCCTTCTCATACGTTGTTATAGAAATTGTCAACTTTGTGACCGCACTTGCATTGCTTATGTTCAAGGTGTTTGTGAGGATAGCTCCATCAATGCTGACTGCGGCAGAAAGACCTGCTTCCGTCCGCAAATTTGTACATACAGATACTGTCATTGTGAATGAGGTGAAGTCAACCCTGAGACTGCAGTGCTACAATAAACAGGTGCCTGTGACACAATTTTCTGTAAAGAGCTACGTAAATTCTTTTACATTATGATCTTACAATTTATCTTTAGAATTAATGTGAATAAGTGCATTTCTAAATGTAAATAGCATATAATGGCACATACTATTCATTGTATGGTTTTTTATTCATCTATTGAGTTTCTCAAGATATTAATATAATACTTTTAATATGGATATGGGTCCAGTTAAACAACAATGAATTAATTGGATAATTATTTTAGCATTTCCACAGTGAATGTATACAAATGTATTTTGTCATCTGCAAAATATGTAGATGCATGCTGGAAACCATGAGTAAATCTCTGGAGGTGGAAAACTAGTATTTTGGAAATATTAAAGGAACAGTAGCCTCTAGCTTCTAGGGTTATTTTCAGCTAATCTAGGTTATAATTGCGCTACATAAAAAGTTTCATGGTTTAATCACCATTAGAAATATTTTTAAAAAATGTTTTAAAACTAACGACTACAGTT